TTTTTGGTTGTAGCCATCATTGTTGTTTGGCAGGCCCGGGATGGATTCGAACCTGCTACCTTAGGTGTATGTGGCTGGCGCCTTAGCTGCTTGAGCCACAGGCACCGAGCCGCTCTGACATGTTTCATTTGGCCTGTGCAAGAGCCCTGGCTTGTCCCATCTGAGCGGGAAGCAACCACAGAGCCCTGGGAAGCCCCCCTGCTGCCTACTCTGAGGCCTCCCCCTTGACCTGGGCACACATGGGGCCTCCTGCCGCTGCCCATAATGGCTTCCTCCAGGTCCCCTGTTTCCCCAGCTCAGCTCTGTGCTCCGAGGTGGAGGATATGGCCATGACACCTGTGTATGGGGCCCACTCCTCATGGACACTCCAGGATTGTCCACTCATTGATGGCCTGAGAGCCTAGGGTCTGAATAGTCCAGCCCGCCCTGGGCACCTGGGGCCCACTTGGCGCATTCTGAAGTGATGTTGGCTTTCCCCAGATCCTCCTAGACTGGCCTAGGGCTAAGAGCCAGGTGAGGGGTGGGATGGGCAGCTTGGAGCAGGACCGCCATGGGCATGGGAGGGCTGGGCAGCGGCAGAGAGGAGGCACAATCCAGGGCTCGGGCCCCGCCTGGGGCCCCAAAGGAGCCTGACTGGGCATTGACCCCACCCTCAACACCTCAGCCTCAGCCTGCTTGGCTGGGAAATAGATGAGGCAGAAATCAGTCTCGGGCTGGTGAGAGCCAGATGCAACTGGGCCTGCAGTGGTGAACACTGGCCCTCTCTCTTCTCTTCCAGGACCATCTACTACATGGGCTATAGGCAGGTCTACACCTCCGAGGCCCGGACCGTGCTCAGGTGTTGCCGAGGGTGGACCCAGCAGCCAGGCGAGGAGGGCTGCCTCTCTGGTGAGTGCCTGTCACCTGCTGGCTCTGCCAGAGGGCGGGGGCCAGTCAGCTGGTGTCTGAGCGCCCGACATTGGGAAGGCATCTGAGGGAGCTGTGTGGCCACGTGTTGGTGTCTGTGGCTTAGGCTCTTCTGAGGCTTTTCTGGGGTCCACCTGCTGTGCCATGCTCAGCCCCAGGTCTTGGGGTCCTTCTGGCTGCTCTGTTCTCAGAAAGGCCCAGGAAGAGGGCAGTCAGAGCTGGGCAGTGGGCCCTCAGCCTCTGTGGGTACAAGACAGCAGCTGCTTCCCCCATTCCCTTGCTGGCGTTCTTGGGTGGATCTCGCATCCAGGCCTCAGTCTTCCCATCTGCTGAAGGGACCTTCAGTCAGTGCCTCAGTCAGGCCAAGCCTGACAACACGGGTGGGACGTCCTGTGGATCCAGCCCCATTTGGGAGCCAGTCCGTATGACCTCATGCAGGCAGGTTCGGGTGGGCTGCGGCCCAGAGGCAGGGAGCGGGCGGGAAGTGGGGAGTCAGCTCTCGTCAGGTGGCTCCCAGCCCTCAGCTTCCTCAGAGGAGTGGTACTCCCTGGGGTGCGCCTGGCTGCAGGGGTGTCTGAAGGGAGGGGCAGGTGTTCCAGCAGGTGAGGTTGCCTGGGTAAAGGCATCAGCAGCTCTCCCTGGAGGGGTCAGCTCAGAGGTCTTGGGACTCCGTCCTTGTCCCTGTGCTTTCCCTGAAAGGTCATGGGGTGAGGACTATGCTATGGGGTGTGTCTAGGGTCATGTTGCGAGCCCCTGTGATGGGAATGGGACTCCAACTCCAGGGGTCCGTGCTGTGGTGTCCCTGTGACCCCAAGCTCCCTCTTCACACATGAAGCATGAAGCCTGTGGCTGGGAAACAGGGATGGAGTTACTCGTCCTGAGAGAACGCCAGTGGGAGAAGGGGAGGAGAAGGGATGGTGGGGGTGTTTTTTTTCCAGTGGAGGAAGTGACTAGTTCTCTCCAGGAAGGGAGGAGAGGCAGGAGGGAGAAGAAGGCAGCTTAGGGCACTGGCCGCAGGGCAAGGAGGGGGTGCCTGCCAGCTGCAGCACCCCCCACAGGGTGTCCCAGCCCCCACAGTCCAGGAGGGTCTGAGAGGCGGCTTCCTCTGCAGTTTTCTGACAGAGACTGATGCACTCCTGGCCCTGTGCCTCCATGTCTGGAGGAGCAGAGGGTGTGTTAGGGGGAGCAAGTAGGGGCAGGGCAGATACCAGAGCCTGCTTTCTGCTCTGGGGTGGGCTCTGGGGCTGCCAGAGGTGGCTGTCACAATGGAGTGAAATGATGAATTGGTGCCGGAGCAGGAGAGGAGGTGGGCCAACCTGCTCCCTCGGGGAGGACATGAGCGGGCATAGGCAGGGTGCTTCTGGGCTGGGGGAGCAGGACTCAGGTGCAGCTATTACAGGTGGGGGTGTGGTGGCAGCACCCGGCCATCCTTGTGACCTTCAGGCCCTGTGCTGGGGTCTGGAGACCCTCACGTTCACCTTGTTTAGCTGACCATCCAGAGCCTACGGGTGTGGCCTGTGTCTAGATGCTGGGCTGGCCTCACATCACTGGAGACTTGGGGACTGAGGCCAACGCTACATCACAAAGGGGCCACAGCAGGGTCTGGTGAATGTGACGATCTCTCTGTGTCCCTAGTGTGGCCCTACGTGAGATTTGGGCTCCACTAGCTGGGCACCAGGCTGTCATACACCCACAGGACCCTTGGGTATTAGAACCCTAACCCTAACCCTGGCAGCTCTGCCCTGGGCTGCCTCTGCTGGAGGGGAGGGCTTGATCCAGCCCGGGGCTGAGTAATACGGGAACAACCCCAGTGGGCAAGGGAGAGGTCTTCCTGTGGGGCAGGTGTGTAGGATAATGGGGGGAGGTCTCAGCCACTGAGCCTCATCCTGGGGGTTGTGACACTAGCAGGGTCCCCCTTGGATCTTGGGCTTGAGCTTTGGCTTTTAGTTGTGTTTTTTTTGGTGACAGAGTCTTGCTCTGTTGCTCAGGCTGGAGGTCAGTTGTGTCATCATAGCTCAACTCCTGGGCTTAAAGTGATTCCCCCATCTTAGCCTCCGGAGCAGCTGGGACTACAGGCACCTGCCACCACTCCCAGCTAGTTTTTCTTTTCTTTTCTTTTCTTTTCTTTTTAGACTTCCTTTATTTATTTATTTATTTATTTTTATTTTTTTCCAGTTTTTGGCTGGGGCCGGGTTTGAACCCACCACCTCTGGTATATGGGCCCTACTCCTTGAGCCACGGGTGCTGTCCCCTGGCTAGTTTTTCTTTTTCTTGTAGGGTCAAGGTCTCACTCTTGCCTAGGCTGGTCTCAAACTCCTGGCCTCAAGTGATCCTCCCACCTCAGCCTCCCAGAGTGCTGGGATACAGGCATGAGCCACGGTGCCTGGCCAGTTGTTTGTTTTTAAAAATTCATTTTTAGCACAGATCGACTTTATTTTACTTTTCTTCGTTTGTTTTAATGATCCCTGGAAAGCTCTGTGGTCTGGCTTCTCCGGATGCACGCTGTCTGCCTCGTGTCTGGGTCCCAGCGTGTGGCCAGGAGGCGTGCACAGCTGATGACAGGCTGCCAAGAGCCAGTAGGGGGTTTGGGGGGTGGTTGGGGGGCTGCAAGAGTGTCGGGGCTGAGTTGGGGCCAGTAAGTGGTCCTGGCCCAGGCCTTTGGACCTTACTACACCACACATGGGACATCTAGCCCAGGCAGGGAAGCTGGCAGGGACCTTCCCTCAACTGCCGCTCTCTGGGGACAGGGCACATGCCGTAAACCGTAGGCCTTATGTTCTGTGCAGCCTCTGTCTGGCCTGGCTTCCGTCCTGAGGCTTGTGTGTGAGGTCACTGGGCTGGCCAGGGCTGGGGGCTTTCCTAGGCATCAGGGAAGGGCTCCAGCAGGGCAGGGCGGGGAAGAAAGGGTGGCCTCGTGGGCTCTGGCCTGCCCTAACTGAGGACTGGGGCCAGTATCCACGATAGGAGGGGTGCCCTGTCTGGTTGCAGTCAAGAGAGAGGAAAACACGGCTCAGCCCCCTCCCTGCCCCTCAAGAGCTTTAGCACTTTGGTGGGTTAACCTCGGCAGGTGCCTGGCCCCAGCCACACCTGCCCCAGGCTCCCTTGCACCAGCCAATGGAATGGGAAATGCACAGTGCAGAGGATAGGAGGTTTCCGGAACACCCACCCAGAAGGGAGAGGAAACCTGAATGCAGAGCCACAGCCCAGGAGGTTCTGGGTGCAGCTGAGCCCGTGGTGGGGAGGAGGAAACACTCCAGAACCACCACGCAGTGGAGGCAAGGCCTGGATCCAGTCCACAGCGGCCCTCGCTCCACACAGCCCCTGAGACTGAGTCCTTGGCCAGGGGGTGCTGTCCCCAATCACCGTTTGTGCCACTACTACTCCTGCTGTTAACAAGAGTCACTGCAGCCCAAGAAGTCTCTCTCTGCAGCTCCTCTCCTGACAGCAGGGGCAGTGGGCACTGTTTGAGCACTTGCTGTGTACTAGTGCCACGTAAAGGCTCCACGTGAAGTTACTCACGTACCCAATGTCTCCTACCAGGTGCTGTCACGGAGCCAGAGCTGGAGGCCTGGGCAGGGTGGTAAGGTGACCAGACGTCCCACTTTTGGCAGGACAATCCCGATTTTTAACAATTTGTCCTGCATCCCATGGCATTTTTAAAAAGTCCAGATTTTTGGAAAGAATGCATGACAAGCTAGGGCATATAGACCAAATTTTCAATTAAGAAGCCTCCCTCCCACCCCCGTCAATGGTATCCTGCCTTACCAATGTTAAAATCTGGTCACCTTAGTCTTGGGGTGACAGTTTAGGGGTCCTAGCAGGTGCAGAGATCCCAGCCTCCTCAGTTCCTGGGAGTTCTGTGTATGTGGGGTCAGGTGACAGTCGGAAGGAGCTGCCTTGGGCCCCTGGCCAGCATGTCTGAGGGTGTCCAGGCAGGACAGGGTCCTCTGAGCTCTCTAGGGCTCTCCCCAGCCACGGATACAATGTCAGGGCCACCTGTGGAGCCCTGTGGTGTTTGTGTGGACATAGGGGACGTAATGCCTGAGAGGATGGCAGGAGCCTGGTCAGCGTGTTTCTCTGAGAGCCACTGAGTTATTACTGGGCAGGGCGGCAGAGCCTGGTGCCACTCAGCCCTGCCCAGGCTGCTGGGCTTGGGCCCTCTTCTGCCATTATGGGGTGAGTACTTTCTGCTCAGGGATTCTCTGAACTCCAGTTTTATCCCAGCCAGGTGACATGTTTTGTCTGGACCCTCCTGATGTTTCAGCCATAGTCATCCTGGGTCCTTGCAGTACTGTCCTGGCAGAACCTTGGGCAATGATCCTTGGAGTGCCTCAGTAGGTGCCTGGTCTGGCAGCTGGACCCAGTCCCTCCCCACGTGCACTGATGTGGATATGTGTGGGACCAAGGTGCCAGGGAGACGCTTTCTGTGGTCCTCTCCTCTGACTCTCCACTCAGGCTGGGCTCAGGAAGAGGGTTTCAATGGACGCTGCCCTGGAGTTGGGCAGCCTTGGCACCTAGCAGCCTTGGCACCTAGCTGGCGGAGGCCTGGGTTTGGGTCCCATGTCCAGCTGCCAGCCCACCAGGCAGACAGTCACTGCGGGTCTTCCTCCTCTCCTGGGTCGTCCGGGGGCCCTATGGCCGCTGCCCCGTCTGTGTCCCTCCAGGCCTGGTTGGTGTCCCTCTGGCCTGCAGAAGGCCACAGTGGATCCTGGGGTTCCCCTTTGCTTTCCTGTCTCTGTCATTTGCTTTTCCTTTTCCGTTCTGGCCACATGTCAGCCCAGCGCCCCAGCGTGGGAATCAGCTGAGCTGGTGTCCCAGACCCTGGGCTCTCTTGTCATCCACCGGATGGCACGGTGGGGCCCCAGGTGGGTGTGAGTACTCATCCCCATGGATGAGTGTGAGTACTCATGGATACTGTGCACTTGGGCCCCTGCCCATGCTCGCCCCTCAGTGCACAGATCTGTGCACATGTGCACACGTGCGTGTGTGAACCGACCCCCACACTCACACATTCTCACTAACATGGCCATGCCTACATGTGCTCACTTGAGTGTGCACAGCCCCCAAATACGCTCACATCCAAACACATGCTCACACCCTGTGCTTACTCATACACTCCGTGCCACACGTGTCCATGCACACTCACGCCTGCATGGAGCTGGTGGGAGTCCCATGGTGCCTGGGAGTCCTCAGGGACCTCCAAGCTCGGGGATGAGGGTCGTCCAGAATATTACCCTTGACAAGTGAAAATTGCCCGTGACGGAGCTTAACACGAATGTCACCATTTTCAGAGGGATACTGAGGCTCACAGTGGTTAAAAGTGTTGCCCTGTGATAAGCCGGCTAATAAATATCAGATCTGGAGCTTGAGCATGTCTTGCAGCCCAAGCTGATTCTAGGGGCAGGAGGGGAGGTTGGGGTGAGCAGGGGAGGTGTGTGAACACTGGGTCCTGGGGGTGCCTGGCCTGGCCTTGCCCCACCTTTCCCCCACAGGCCACCTCCACCTGCCCTGGCATTTCTCACACTCATGGGTTTGGACAGTTGCTTCCAAGGTCCCGGGGCCCTGTGGGTGCAGCCCCTGCCGAACAGCCAGAGGGAGGCTCCCCCCACAGATCCTCCCACGTGGCTTGGCTTCTTTAGTGGCTTAAAGTAACCAATGTTAAGTATAAAACACTTTGTTGCTCAGAAATCTGTACGTCATTTGGTGAAAGCATATACCTCTTCCTTCCTTCGACCCCCGTGTGTTGAGTCATTTTAGTTTCCATTTTCAAGTTTCCCACCTGGTCATGCTCTCTGCCCGGCCTTTTCCGCACATACAGGGTGCTCTTGGACGGTACTGAATGTCCTGGTCAGAGCAGGGCTCTGGTGCTCACCACTCTTCTCTTGGTGGGAGTTTGTCTCCTGAGTGCTGGCTTAGTTCACACACTGTCGTCTGGACTGTCCGCTCACAGGGTGCTGGGACACACTGTCAGTGCTATTATCGGTGACAGTGGGGAGGGTGGGCCTGCTGCCTGACGCTGGTGTCCTTGGCTTCCTCCCACACCGGCCCAGGTGCTCTCCTGTGGTCCACCCATTCTCCTGTCACTCTGCACTGGGTGTCCACTCTCTCTTGGGCCTCCACTCCCACCCACCTAGAGTGTGGACATTTCTATTCCATGACTTCAGCAGGCCTTGGGCTTCCTTCTGTGGTGTCCTTATCTCACAGCCTCCCGAGGGGCCAGGAGCACCCCAGGAGCGCCTTTTCTTTGTTTCAAAGCCTTGTGGTGTTTTCCCACCTCTGCAGATGGTACCGCATCCTTCTTGGGCCCTGGCGCCTGCCCTCTCCCCACAGAATATGAACAGATGACTCATGCCTGGCCCCGCCTGGCCACTCAGGTGCCTGTTCCCACTTCATTCCCTTCTCATAGCAGCTGAGGAGCACCTTCTGAGTGCCAGTGCTGGGCACGTGATGGCAACAAGTCAGGGTGGTGACTGTCTAGGGACCTGGGCTGGGCGGGAGGTGAGCTGTTACACCAGAGGTGTGCTGGCGGGCAGCTGCAGGCAGACTCAGCCTGGTTTGTATAGGGGCCCTGGGCAGGCTCCTTGAGGGCGTGCCATTTGGGGAAGAGACATGTGTCCCAGAGCAGCCTGCTCAAGGTGGGCCCCTGAGGGGTAGGACTGAGCGTGGTGGGGCAGGGAGTGAGGCCTAGAGCTAGGTGGGGTCTGATGCATAGGGCCTGGGGGCCATGGGGTCAGTACGCTTGCCTTCCACTTGCTTGAGAGGTGGTGTCTTCAGCCAGGACAACCATGAACACCACCCCTGGGTTTTAGAAGGGCCTGCCTTCTCTGTTTCTGAGTCAGGCAGATGCTTCTGGGGGTAGGGGAGAAGGATGTGAGCTGGGGCAGAGGGAGCCTAGAGCTCCAGAAGGATGCTGAGAGCAGGGACGGGGACCCCTGGTGGCCACTTTGCCCCAAGCCGGGAGAGTCGGGGCTCCCCGGAGGACTGGCACCAGCTCCCGCTCCAGAAGGCGGCTGGAGGTCTTCAGGACCCTGCAAATCTTCCTAAAAAATAAACACAACTGGCTGTCGCCTGTGGCTCAAAGGAGTAGGGCTCTGACCCCATATGCCAAAGGTGGCGGGTTCAAACCCAGCCCCAGCCAAACTGCAAAAAATAAAAAAAAAAATAAACATAACTGATATTCTTTCATTGGAAACGCCCAAGTCAACAGGTTTGGGCCCCCAGTACTTGGGACACTGATGTTTCCTGCTATTTCCTGTTACACAGGCCCGGTCAGCCCCTCAGCCCAGGGGGACTTCCCTGTGTTGATTGTGGGTCACAGCAGCTTCCGTCTGGCTTCCCTGTGGCCCAGCCCCCTCGGACTGCAGGTGTTTGGCTGGAGGGGCCTGGGTTTGGACAGGTGTGACTGAAGGCCAGCTGGGATGCCTACAGGGTGGCCTGAGAGCGGGGGGCCACCTCTGGGACTGGGTGGCCGTGGTTTCAGGATGGCGGGAGAAGCAATGCCTCTCTGCACTGGCCTGGCCAGGTGCTCTGACTCCAGACACCTACACTGGAGATTTGGGCTTGAGCACTGGCGTAGGCCCTGGTCAGTCCTCACTGTGTGGCCTAAAGCTGGGTATCGACCTGCTCTGAGCCTTGGTTTTCCTCACCAGCACAGCATTTGGGCCAGAAGCTCCTGGACCCACAGCCTGGCTGTTGTCCTTCCCCTTGTCCAACCCCACTGTACCCCAGGGTCCCAGGCATTCTGGCCTGGCAGGGTCCCTCCGTCTAGCTGGAGTTTCCAACCTGCAGCCCACGGCCCACACATTGACTTGGGGAGGGCTCTCTTGCTTACCTATGGTGTCCAACACCATGAGAAGTGTCCCCAGGCCTTTTCTGTGCTTTCACCTTTCCTTAGTGTTTGTGTCCTCGCTGTGTGGCCTGAGGCAGCTCTTCTCCATTCTGGCAGAAGAGAGAAAAGGCTGGACTCCCTGGGCTAGGGCTTTCCTCTAGGCCCTGGCAGGGTGTGGTCAGTGACGCACAACCTTTCTCTGAGCCCAGGAGCTTGGGTCCTCTAGGGTCCTGGGCTGCAGGAGGTGGCCCAGTCGCTGTTCTGAGCACCCCACAGGGGGAGGGAGCAGCCGGCCCTATTGTCATGTGCAGGGTGGGGGCTGCAGGCAAGGAAATTGGGGCCTTAGCCCAAGGTGGGCACCCGCTGTGGGGAGCCCGCAAGACTGTTGGGGATGGTCGGCTGGGGGGCTGCCTGCCCAGCCGTAGCCTCCTGCACCCACATACCCCCACCTGACTCACTGGCCTAAGGGAGCCCCTAGGCAGTTGGGGGCTTTGGGAGAGGGCCTGGGAGCAGAGGCTCTCCTGTGGAGGAAGAGGAAGAAGAAGATGAGGGAGGCCTCCCTCTTCCCAGCCCTGACCTCCTTCTCTCCCCAGGTCCTATTGGCCTGGGGTGTCTTGGCCCTCCCTGGGCCAGCCTTACAGATTCTACCATGTGGGCTTGAGAGGGTGCCTCAGCCAGATCCCAGCCTCCCTTGCAGCTGTGGGCCCCACTGTCTACACTGCTGCTCTCCCTACCTCAGCCCCTTTCCTCCCCACCCTTTATTCCTCCCCACCTCTCCTAGAAATGCCCTTGAACACTCTAGTATTGGCTGAAATGAGAGGGCTTTTACTACACTCAGGGGGCCACCCAGCCCTGACTGGTGGTGGCCACGGCTGAGGCCACCAGTGGGAGCTGGGTCAGTGTGTGAGGCAGGACGGGGGTCGGGGGGCAGTGACCTGATGGGCTTCCTCACACTTTCTCTCCTCTCCACAGCCCAGTGTCATACTGGCCTCTGTTTCAATGGTGGCCACTGCATGCCAGGCTCAGCCCAGCCGTGTCGTTGTCCACCAGGCTTCCGAGGTCCCCGCTGTCAGCACGGTGAGTGGAGGCCCCTTGGGTACCAAAGCCCTGGCTGTGGCCAGCCTGTGGGCACAGGGCAGAGGGCAGGGGACATATCAGTGGTGACAGTCCCTGGACAGACAGGCATTCTCCAAGCACATTCTCTATCCCTTCACCCCGCTTCCTACAGCGCACTGAGGCTGTTGGAAGGGGTGAACCCGGAGAGACCTGCTCTCAACAGGTGGCTCAGTGCCTCACAGTCTCGGAGCAACAACCCCCCCCCCCACCCTGTGCCCAACCTGCTGTTTATGGGCAGAGACTCCCACCCCTGGAGTGGCTGGAATCCTGGGGTCCCGGCTGTATTGCCACTGTTCTTGAGTGCTTGTTGGAGCTGTCATGTAAATTGCAGCACATTTATAATCTGGGAGTCCCTGCAGACCCTGACAATGAAGCAGCAGGAGCCGTGGTTTTCTGGGGAAATGCTTATGGGGGACTGATCAGGGACAGGCTGAAAGTAAGCGCTTGGGTAGTAGAATCTGTGTAAAGAGCAGCGCGTCTAACACATGGAAAGTGGACAGAAGAGCCTCTGCAAACCTTGGCCCTGGGAGGTGTGACCTCTCTTCCTCAAGCCTTCTGCTCTGTGAGTTTCAGAATTGCTCTTGCGAGGAGCTGCTGGGGGCTCCTTCCTTGTGGAGGCCGTGGCAGGTGGGACATCCAAGGGCATCTGAGGAAGAAAGGACCTTCTAGCTGCCCTCTGTGGTCGCCCAGTGTTTGGGTTACTGGCTGGCTGTCCTCTGTTAGCTCGGAGGGTCCCTACTGAGTCAGCGCTAGCGCTGGTTGCTTCCCGGAAGCTGAGCAGCTACAGGGCTACCGGGCCATGGGGCATGGTCCCTCCAGGTCCCCTGGACTGTCACTGCTGAGTGACATCCAGCCTCCCATCCTCACCAGGCTTCCCTGTGGTCACTCTGAGCTATCTGGACATGAGTAGCCCTGGAGTCCCTGCAGGATGGAGGCTCTGGCCTTCATGCTTCACCTCTTCTTAGGAACTTTAATTTCGGCACAGGTGGGGAATGAGAAATGCCCCCGGGGCCTTTCCTCCTTCTTCCTCAAATCTTTTTGAAACAGGGGTACTTGACTTCAGTTTTGTGCAAAAATCCTGAGCTGCCTGTGCTAGGTAGATTTGGGACCTCCTAGAGCTGGCTGCCTCTGGGGAAGTTTCCAGAACAGGCCTGTAGTAAAGAAAATTACCCTGTGATCTCTGCTCCTAGGGGAGGGTGATGAAGAGGTGACCCTGGGGTTTAGCCTGTCCTGGTCAAGTCCCCCGGGAAGGGCTGAGGACACCTGACTGCCACCCTCAGAGCTAGCTGCCCGCCCCCCTCGTCCTGTCTCCCACCACCCTCCCACCCCACCCGGTCTTCACTGAGGGCCCAGCTCTCAGCCCTACTCCATACTGAGCAGCCACCTTCCCCCAGAGCCTGACACCTGCCTCCAGGTACCAGGAGGAGGAGCTTGCAGGGCTGATGAGGGCCTGGCACCTGGTCAGGGAACATTGTGTCTGGTGGGGGCTCAATATCGAGCAGAGGAGAGGGCTGGGGAGTGCTATACCTCCGGGAGCTGGGTGTGGCTATGGGGGCTGGGTATGGCCATGGGGCTGGGCCTGGTGGTAGGGGGCTGCCAGGTATCCAGGGGATCCTGACCCTGTCTACGGCAAGCACATGCTGAGCCCAGAGTCACATTCAGTGCTCACTTCTTTTTTGGGGGTGGGCAGGGGACAGAGTCTCATTTTGTCGCCCTTGGTAAGCACAGCAACCTCAAACTCTTGGGCTCAAATGATTCTCTTATCTCAGCCTCCCAAGTAGCTAAACTACAGGCACCTGCCACAACGCATATATATATATATAAAACTTTGTTTTGTTTTGTTTTGCAGTTTTTGGCTGGGGCTGGGTTTGAACACGCTACCTCCGGCATATGGGGCTGGCGCCCTACTTCTTTGAGCCACAGACGCCGCCCTTATTTTTTTCCTTTCTGTTTTCTTTTTAAGAGACGAAGTCTTGCTCTGACTCAGGCTGGTCTTGAACCTGTGAGCTCAGGCAGTCCACCTGCCTCAGCCTTCCAGTTGGGCCCTCACTTCTGCTTTAGACTCATGAGGTGCTCAGAGCAGCAGCCCCATTCCATGGCTGTGGTGGGCACAGCCTGGTAGGCACGGGCAGGGCCTGGAGGTGGCAGCTCCTTCCTGGCACTGAGCCAGGTCTGTCTGTGGCGCCTCACAGAATCCTCACTTCAGCTGCCTGGTGAGAGAGGAAATAGCTGCTGGCAGCTGCTGGCCACTTGGTGGGTGAGTGGCAGACCTGGGTGGTAGGCAGGCCTGTCTGAGGGAGCCTGACACCTTCTGGCCACACTGCTTCCAGATGTAGGATCTGGTCTTGGTCAGGGGAGATCTGCTTTTGGGGAGAGAAGGGCAAGGGTCCCAGACAGGGTGGGCTTCCTCACCTGGGACCACCTGGATACCCTCTAGGTGGTAGACTTCCTGGGAGAGTGACCAATCAGGGGAAGATGTGGCCTTCGGGGATTGGTGAACAAGCTGAGGGGTGGCTACTTGGCTTCCTCTGTAGGCATTTTCCTAGAAGAAGGGCTGGACTTGCAGGGCTGCCTGTGCAGGGCTGTGTGTGCAGGGCTGTGTGTGTGTATGTAGGGCTGAGTGTGTGCAGGGCTGTGTGTGCAGGGCTGTGTGTGTGTATGTAGGGCTGAGTGTGCAGGGCTGGGTATGTAGGGCTAAGTGTACAGGCCTGTGAGTGTGCAGGGTTGTGTGTGTGTAGGGCTGAGTGTGCAGAGCTGGGTGTGTGTAGGGCTGAGTGTATAGGCAGGGTTGCTTGTGCAGGGCTATGAGTGTGCAGGGCTGTGTGCAGCGCTAAGTGTACAGGGCTGTGAGTGTGCAGGGCTGTGTGTGTGTGTGTAGGGCTGAGTGTACAGGGCTGTTTGTGTGCAGGGCTGGGTGTATAGGGCTGAGTGTGTAGGGCTGTGTGTGTGCAGAGCTGTGTGTGTGTAAGGCTAAATGTATAGGGCTGTTTGGGTGCAGAGTTGTGTGTGTGTAAGGCTAAGTGTATAGGGCTGTTTGGGTGCAGAGCTGAGTGTTCAGGGCCGGGTGTGCAGGGCCAGGTGTGAAGGCCAGGCCTCCTGCAGCCCCTAGCCTTGGTGCCTCCACCTTGACCTCTGACGGTTACCTACCTGTCCCTCGTCCATGCTGAGTTTGGTCCATGCACCACAGACCTGAGCAAGGGAGGGAATATTTAACTCATTCCCCAATTATAACTGATTCCAATTTTGAAAATAAAAGTCGGCTCGGCACCTATAGCTCAACCGGCTAAGGCGCCAGCCACGTACACCTAAGGTGGCGGGTTCGAATCCCCAGCCCGGACCTGCCAAACAACAATGCTGGCTGCAACCAAAAAATAGCCGGGCGTTGTGGCGGGCGCCTGTAGTCCCAGCTACTTGGGAGGCGGAGGCAGGAGACTCGCTTGAGCCCAGGAGTTGGAGGTTGCTGTGAGCTGTGATGCCACGGCACTCTACCCAGGGGGACAGCTTGAGGCTCTGTCTAAAAAAAAAAAAAAAAAAAAAAAAGAAAATAAAAGTCATGTTTTCTGGGTCTCCCAAATTTGTTCGTTGAATAAAAGTGTGGGGGAGGGAGGCAGAGACTGGTGGGCGATGCCTATAGAGGCTTTTTTGGGGGAGCCCCCTCCAGCATGCCCCTCCCCCATTCTGCTTCGAGATGGTCATTCAGGGCTTAGGCCTGGGAGGGAGGGTGGTAGGGTGGCTTAGCTCCCCTGTTCTAGCCGTCCTATCACCACCTGAAGCCTTCCTGCAGAAGCATAAATTGTCTGGGGAGCCCCTGCCCAGCCCCATATAGGCCCCGCACAGTTTGCCCATTGATGGCTTTGGTGCCCCCCAGACCTGGCCTGTGTGACCGGCATAACCTGCTCCCTACTTAGGCCTAGTTCCTCTTCTGCTGGTGGGTGAGATGGGCAGTGCTGGATGCAGGTACCTGAGCCAGGGTAGGGGAGGCCCAGAGCCCACTTGACAGGAGTGTCAGGGAGCAGGGGCCACTGCCAGGGACAGCCACAGTGACCGCAGTGAGTGCTTGGTGGTGGAGGTGGGCTTTGTCCCTGCTTCTCAGGGTAACTACACTTGTGGCACCCCTGTGCTTCCATGGGGTGCAGCTCTCATACAGCCTCTCCCTTGGGTGGCCTGGAGTCTGGCTTTAGCGTCCCATCAGACCCACCAGGAATGGTTTTTGCAGCTGGAAATATGGCCTGATCCTGGCTCTGCACTTGGAGTCCCAGCATGTGTGATGCTCTAGGAGTAGGGCACGACCGCCCCCCCCCCCCCCCCCCCCCGCCCCCCCCCCCCCGGCACCCTGGTGTCCTGGGCTAGCCTGAGCCCTGTGAGGGAAAGACAGCAGGAAAAGCCTGTCCTGAGGACATGCCCTTTAATAGGTTTGCGTTTAATGCTGCAAATGATAACAGAATGACCAGAGCTCATCCCTCCGGACTCAGTCTCAGCCCAGGTCCTGGGACAAAGGCAGCTCCGAGAGCCCAGGTCTGGGTCCCACTACTACATTCTCAGAGAAGCAGCTTTGGCTCTGGTGCTCCCATTGGCCTCAGTTTCCTTATCTGTGAAATGGGCAGTTTGGGTGGGTCTCTGAAGTAGCACCACACAAGGGTGCCGCATGGGTGCAGGTGAGTGGCTGGGAGGCAGTGCTGCCCAGCAGAGGCCAGCAGACCTGTGGGCTTCCTAGAGGAGGTGGGCCTGTGGCTAGGGCAGGTTTGGGGAGATGCACGTGGGTCTGGGTGAGTTTCCAGATGGGAGAGGCAGGAGCCAGAACTCAGCCCTGCACAGAGAGCTAGGTGGGGACCAGAGGGGAGGATCAGCCAGGAGTCCTGAGTGTCCTCAGCCCTTCTCTCTGCAGGACTGAGACGGGGGCTGCCAGGAGCCACTGCCTTTGGGCCTTTGGGCCTTTGGGTAGGCAGAGGTCTCTGGGGAGT